CTTCGACATGACCACAATACAATCGGCACATGCTGACATTAACATGGAGACGATACCCTGATATATTGGCATCTGCTATGAAGTTTATAATCCAATAAGGGTTTTGATAACTTGGGATCCATAAATGGTCTGCAAGGTCTGCCCCTGTAGACCTGCACTTAAAGGGTGACATTGCCCTGTCTCAGGTGCCTGCTCTACTGGTGACATTTTTCATTGGCTCCATTGCTCACTTAGAATTTTTTTCCCCAGCTGTTGACATTTTATTTTCTGCATATCTCTGAAGCTGCAGCAGTTGTTCTTATGCCTTTTTGATTATAAGTTTCATAGAAGCTGTCAGTTTCCAAAGGATTTCATCTCCTTTGGATGGAACCAGGTCAATAGCTACAAACCTATCTGAGAATGTCTGCCATCGATCTCCTCTCTGTCTAGAAGGGTATCTTAGTCTATTAAGGGTACTATAACAAAATACCACAAACAGTGTGGCTTATAAACAACAAAAATTTCTTACAGTTCTAGAGGCTGGGAAGTGAAAAATCAAGGTGCCAGCAGATTTGATGTCTGATGAGAGCATGTTTCCTTGTTCATAGATGATGCCTTCTGGCTGTGTTTTCACATGGTGGAAGGGGTGAGGCAGCTCTCTGGGGCTTCTTCTATAAGAGCACTAATCCCATTCATGATGGCTCTGCCTTCATAATCTAATCACTGTCCAGAGGTCCCATTTCTTAATATCATTACTGTGGGGGTTAGAATTTCAACATATGAATTTAGGAGGACACAAACATTCAGATGATAGTAAAATAAACTTTGTGTCTTAATAAGTTGTATGGGTTATAGTAGGTAAAAACTGGTTTCTAGTTTATGAGTTCAGCAGGTATTTGACACAGGATTCCTCAATTTAGTGAAGTCACACAAAATGGTATAAATCTGATTTTTTTATCTGGACATCTATATCCCAAGCAGTCACATCTCCTCTAGATCATGTCCTAATCTTACAACAGTTGCTCTCATTCCTCAGACTTTCCAGTGGGATAGTGAGAGCCTTCAGAGTGTAGAACAGGCTTACTTGTGCCATGATTCAGATACTCAGCCACAATAAAGATGTACTCTAAGCCCAACCGTAGGGAGAGATTTCAATCTTTGATTGTAGTCTCCAAATGTTATCAGTGTAAGTCACAGTCATCTAAAGCCCTTCAGCAATACAAAATCAGGAGTTCAGCAACTAAATGGGAGTTGCCAGTTTTATTATCATCAGTAAAAAAATACAGAGATTTCATTCATCAGAGGCAGTAACATTCTCATCCCTCTTTCTGTCTTATTCACTGCTGCACAACACCAATGCTGTCTCACAGTTCCCTCTGGCGTGATTCTAGGTTTCTTCAAGAAGGCTTTCCTGCAGCCTAGTTAGCATAGACTTTCTCCTCTCCTCTCCTCCCCTCCCCTCCCCTCCCCTCCCCTCCCCTCCGATCTTCTCCCCTCCCGTTCTCTTTTTATTGATGGAGCCTGGCTCTCTCGACCAGGCTGGAGTGTAGTGGTGCAATCTTGGCTCACTGCAACCTCCTCCTCCCAGGTTCAAGCAATTCTCCTGCCTCAGCCTCCTGGGTAGCTGGGATTACAGGCATGTGCCACCATGCCTGGCTAATTTTTGTATTTTTGGTAGAGATGGGATTTCACCATGCTGGCCAGGCTGGTCTTGAACTCCTGGCCTTGTGATCCACCCTTCTCAGCCTCCCAAAGTTCTGGGATTACAGGAGTGAGCCACCGTACCCTGCCAGACTTCTTCATCTTTCTCCCCACTTGTTTCTCAACTCTTTACCATGTAGATCAATTTAGCCTCCCGGGCTTGCTTTCTTCCTGACAATCTCCGCATTTACCCAAATTCTACCCTAGAAGCAATCAGGTAAAAGCAGATGCATCAAGAAAATACCCTTTCTTCTTAGGAAAGAACGGACAGGCTGAGTGCGGTGGCTCACGCCTGTAATCCCAGCACTTTGTGAGGCCGAGACGGGTGAATCACAAGGTCAGGAGTTCAAGACCAGCCTGGCCAAGTTGGTGAAACCCCATCTCTACTAAAAATACGAAAATTAGTTGGGCATGTTAGCATGTACCTATAATCACAGCTACTCAGGAGGCTGAGGCAGAGAACTGCTTAAACCGGGAGGCAGAGGTTGCAGTGAGCTGAGATCGAGCCACTGCACTCCAGCCTGGGAGACAGAGCAAGACTCCATCTCAAAAAAAAACAAAAAAAAAAAAAACAAAAAAACCAAAGGAAAGAAGGGATGGGAGGGAAGGGAGAATACAGCAAATACTTATTATTCGGTATGTGTTATTCTGTTACTTTCTTATGTATTTTTTTAAAATGATTTAACCACAAAACCAAAACACAAAATAATGCTTTTTCTTTGAAAATATACTTGAACACTTTATCTCAATTGTCAGGAAGCTCAGAACTAAATTCAGAGCTATACTGGTCATTGTGTATGTTAATTTATTTCAAGGTAATTAATTTTGATACTTTTCAAGAGATTGTAAATGTACTTTCAAATAACAGCTTTATCAAGATATAGTTGATATACCATACAATTTACTTTTTAATAGTGTACGATTTAGGCTGGATGCAGTGGCTTATGCCTATATTCTCAGCAGCTTTGGAGGCTGAAGTGAGAGGATCACTTGAGTCCAGGAGTTCAAGACCAGCCTGGCCAGCATGGCAAAACCACGTCTCTACAAAAAATACAAAAATTAGCTGGGCATTGTGGTGCACACCTGTAATCCCAGCTACTGGGGAAGCCTTGGCACAAGAATTGCTTGAAAGCAGAAAGCAGAGTTTGCCATGAGCTGACATCATGCCACTGCACTCCAGTCTGGGTGACAGAGCAAGACCTAGTCTCGAAAAAAAGTGTAAAATTTCATGATTTTTAGTATATGCACATACAGGAAAGGCACCACTATCATATTTCAGAACATTTTCATCACCTCTAAGAGAAACCCTGTACCCATAACTGGTGGCTCTGCATTCTGCTCTCCCATTAGCCGTTGGCCTTTTCTGGATCTTTCATATAAATGGGATAATAGAATATGTGTTTTTTTTTTTTTTTTTGCAATTGGCTTCTTTCGTTAGCATGATGTTTTCAAGGTTCACCCATGTGGTAGAATGTCACAGTGCTCTATTCTTTTTTACTGATGAATTATATTCCATCGTATAGCTATACCACATTTCGTTTTTCCATTCATCAGCTGATGGCATTTAGGTTGTTTCTACTTTTTGGTGATTATGAATAATGCTCCAATGAACATTTGTGTACAATTTTTGTGTGGGCATAAGTTTTCAATTCTCTTGCCCATATGCCTAGGAATGGAATTGCTGGGTCATATGGCAGTTCTATATTTAATATTTTTGAAACTGGCAAGCTCTTTTCCACAGCAGCCACAACATTTTACATTCCCATCAGTGGTGTATGAGAGTTCTAGTTTCCTCACATCCTTGCTGACAGTTGTTATTGTCTGTCTTTTTTATTTTAGCCATCCTGGTAGATACTAAATGGTAGTTCATTTGTATTATATTTAATGATTAGTCAAAACAATTTATGTTTGTATAAAGTTGCTTCAAATCCTTTTTTTTATTGTGGTAAAATAAAAATAACATAATATGTATCATTTTAACCATTATTAAGTGTGCGATTCAGTGGTGTTAAGTATATTCACAATGTTGTACAACCATGATCACTATCCACTTCCAGAATTTTTCCATCATCTCAAACGGAAACTTTGTGCCCATCAGACAATAACTCTCATTTCTCTTCTTCCCCAGCCCCTGGTGACTTCTACTTTACATACAATTTCTATGAATTAGCCTATTCTATGTACTTCATATAAGTGGAATTAGTCCTTTTGTGTCTGGCTTATTTCATTTAGCATGTTTTCAAGGCTCATCCATGTTGTAGTTGAAGTATGTGTCAGAATTTCATTCACCTTTTTTTTTTTTTTTTTTTTGATATGGAGTCTTGCTCTGTGGTCCAGGCTGTAATGCAATGGCATGATCTTGGCTCACTGCAACCTTCGTCTGCCAGGTTCAAGTGATTCTCCTGCCTCAGCCTCCCAAGTAGCTGGGACTATAGGTTCCTGCCACCATGCCTGGCTAATTTTTGTAATTTTCTTTTCTTTCCTTTTCTTCTTCTTCTTTTTTTTTTTTTTTTAAGTAAAGATGAGGTTCACCATGTTGCCCAGGCTGATATTGAGTTCCTGACCTCAGGTGATCCAGCCACCTCAGTCCCCCAAAGTGCTGGGATTACAGTCGTGAGCCACCATACTCAGCCTTAAATTCTTTTTGTAAGCAGCTCTGGCCTAATCTTAAATAATAAGCTAATACAGAGAATGTGCCTCACACTCCGGCATACCGTGTGTTTTGGCTTTAAGATCTTGGGACAGCTTCTCTGAAGAAGACATCACTCTGCCCCACAGTTGCAGCTGTTTACCTCCCAGACTCACTGGTAAAGTTAGAAGATGCTTCTAACAGAAAAAGCGCCCATCTATGTTTTCCTCACAGCAGTTGTGAAGACTTGCTGAGATGGATCTGAGGTGGGGTCCTCAAGGGATACAGGATTAGAAGAGGAGACATTTTGCTCTTCCTACTGTTAATATACCAGCAAAGTCCCGTTGGTTGGGACAGAAAGTTGAAGTTGCTTTTGCTTTTGGAGCTCATAGAGTGTGTGTGCACATATCAGCAGGATTAATTTAAAAATCTGACCCCAGAATCATGCTGTCTACAGTTTCGTCTCATTGATTTTTTTCAAGTCCAGGAACTCTAATATGTTTATATTATAACTGTCTTAAGACATGTTCGTGCAGTACATATGCTTAGCAAGATCTGTAACTGTTTGGGATGAATTCCATTCTTTATTCATAAAAAAGGTATGAAGCAAATTGACTTCTGATTTGTCATGTTTATAAAGTTTTCCTAAGTAAATACAACAGTAGTTATCAGCATTCTCTTGACTTCCTAGATTAAAACTTTGGAACAGACTAAAGCCATTGAAGATCTAAACAAATCCAGAGAACAGCTGGAGAAGATGAAGGAGAAAGCTGAGAAAAAGCTCATGTCTGTCAAGTCAGAACTGGATACCACAGAACATGAGGCTAAGGAGAATAAAGAAAGGGCCAGAAACGTGATAGAAGTGGTAACCAGTGAAATGAAGACACTGAAAAAATCTCTGGAAGAGGCAGAAAAGAGAGAAAAGCAGGTGGGTCTAAATCTGGTGATGAAACCAGATTTAGGAAGATTTTCTTCTTGTTTAGGAAATGACAGGACAATTCAAGAACTTGATATTAATAATTATTCATTTAAAAAAATGGACTGTTTTCATGAATTTGTGTTTCATCCTTTCACGAGGCACATGCTAATCTTCTCTAACGTTCCAATGTTAACACGTGCTCCCAAAGTGAGAACTATTCACATATTTATTCAAAAGCAATTAACAGAGCTTTCGTATCTTTTCAACATATCCACCTTCCCCTCCAGCATCTTTTTGACATTCAAGTAACCATTCTGATTCACCCCTCTAAGAAAAATTATTCACATTTTCATGGCACAAACTGCAGGAAAGGAAAAGACGTTCTTATTCAAGCAACGGAAGGGTTCTGGTGAAAAAACAGGTTCTGGTTCTCGGGAGGTTTTTTTAAGTTAAGTGATCGCCTCAGAAGTTTGCATCATTGCAGAGCTCTTAACGTTAACCAGGGCTCTGGCCTCAGGAGGGAAGCCTTATCTGCAGCAGAGATCAGTTGCAGGAAACAGCCCCAAGTCTCAAACAGTGGCACCCAGACTTGATGGCCAACCAGGCACAGATGTAAGCCATAAAAAAGTACTCATTTGCTTGCTGGCTACAAGGAGGAGCATTTTATCTAGTGAGTCCATCAGGAGGTCAGGCATAAAGAAACGTGTACCGGGCAGCTTGACCTCCATTGCTTTTTGGCTTTTGTCTCTTTCTCCTTTTGAAGCTCAAAAGGGCATAGAATGGACTCTGATCCTAGGATTTTTTCCCCCGCTTTGGCCGCCTCTGTTTTGGTTCATGTGTCAGGCCGAGGTGAGGAAAGCCAAATGACACAATGAACGTTCTCAGAAAGGAAACCGCTTCGGAATTGAGAGCTTTGGCCACACTGGAAAGGGTGGAAGTCTGAGAGAAACTTTGCTCTTTCATCAGGGAGACTAGGTTGGTGTCTTAGTCCTTTCGGGCTGCTATAACAAAGTACCATCTACTGGGTGGCTTATAAATAATAGAAATCTCTTTCTCACAGTTCTGGAGGCTGAGAAGTCCAAGATCAAGGTGTCTGGTGAGCACAGTTTCCTGGTTCAGAGCCGGCCCCTTCTCACTGTGTCCTCATGTGGTAGAAGGAGCAAAGTGGCTTTCTGGGGCCTCTTTTATAAAGGCGCTAATCTTATTCATGAGGGCTCCACCCTCATGATCTAATCACCCACCAAAGGCCCCACATCCTAATATCCTCACATGGGTCATTAGATTTCAACATAAGAATTTTGAGGGGTCATAAAATTCAAATCATAACATCTGGAGAAAATGTCACCATTCCCAAATTGGACCCTGCAAGAGAAGGAGGTTGCAGAGCCAATGAGCCTGGGGTGGGACTGTTTGGGTGGCATTCTCTTGGATGTTGGAGCAACCCTTTTCTAAAATGGAGGACTCCTTTAATGAGGTGTTGGCCAGATGCCCTGATTTATCTGATTTTGCATTAACCTAGAACCACAGAGACCAGCCTATGAGAATTTGAAGGGGTATGAGGCATATTTCAACCATTGTTCCCAGCCCCCCACTTTTCTTTCTTCAAGGGACAAATGGAAGTCCCAGAGCAGTCCCATGGAATGGCTTGTGAAGTGGCAATCTGTGTGATATGACTTGATAGTAATTTAGAAGCCCTCCTGTTTTCATTAGCATATAATTTTTTGCTATTTGTTCTTTTTTTTTTTTTAGTTTAAGAGGTTATCAGCCAGCTAAAAATCCCAAAGCATGTTTACCATCCTTTGACACAACCCCACCAACATTTGCTTAGTTCTTCCTAGTTTGCAGAGCACACACAGAGTCACCATTTCATTTGATCTGAATTTCAGAACAGCCTTCTGAGCTAGGTGTATGGCTAATCCCACCCTGGAGTTGGGAAAATGAAATCTTAGTGATGTCAGGGTTTCATTCATGGTTACTTATCTGAGATTCTTGACTCAATAGCCAATACCACATCAGCTGGCTTATCAGAAAAGTGGTTGTGAAATCTCTGAAGGTTGGAAATTGATGGGACTTATCTGGAATCTGGTATTTTATCAGTGAGAGAACTATGAAGAGGGTAGATAATTTCCCTACCTCATGCAAACCTGAGTTTTCTACAGGCTTTTTTTTGTCTGTTTGTTGCATTTGGCTCAGCAGTAGTTGATACGTTTTGTTTTCCCAGTTAATGAATTTCTGTTTGATATTACAGCTAGCAGACTTCAGGGAGGTGGTGTCCCAGATGCTAGGCTTGAACGTGACCAGCCTTGCTCTTCCTGACTATGAAATCATCAAGTGTCTTGAAAGACTGATTCATTCACATCGGCATCGGTTTGTTACCTGTGCCTACCTCAAAGACGTGACTACCAGGCAAGATAGGCAGCCACAAGGCCATTTACAGCTTCTTCATTGAACACTGTATCTCTTGAGAGAAATGGCCAAAAGACATGGGACACAATTCCCAAATTCACAAATTCGTCATGTCTCTGAGATTTGATTAGTTTGTGAATATTGTATGCTTTGATGATATAGTGATAATGCATCACTCACAAAAAGAATCTCAAAGGTGTTAGCCTTAGATAAACGTTCTGCATGAAAAACACCTATTATTTCATTTACCGGCATTTTAGGACCCAGAAGAATTCCACCAGATTACATGAGTTAGATTGGGAAATGAGAGTAGGGAATTAACATTGTGGGGTATCTATTTTAAGTCAGGGGCTTTACTAGCCAATTTTGTTCTCATAATAACCATGTAGAAAAGCTGTGACAAGTATTTTATTTTCCAACCTTTCTGGAGCTCAGACATGGAGTTACCTATCCAAGGTTGTAGTTGGGTACTGGTGAAACCAGGATGGACAACTCATTGGTCCTGCCTCAAACGCCGTTACTTTTCTGCTGCACAGACTCGGTTTCTCCTGAATCTCTAGGATGCTGGTAGGAATTGTTTGCACATTGAAAGGAAAATACCCCTGTCATCAAGAGTTAATGTCTGGTCTGGGCTGGGCATGTTGGGTTATGCCTGCAATCCCAGCAATTTGGGAGGCTGAGACAGGCATATCATTTGAGGTCAGGAGTTTGAGACCAGCCTGGCCAACATGGTGAGACCCCATCTCTACTAAAAGTACAATAATTAGCTGGGCATGGTGGCGTGCACCTGTAATCCCAGCTACTTGGGAGGCTGAGGCAGGAGAATTGCTTGAACCTGGGAGGTGGAGGTTGCAGGGAGCCAAGATTGTGCCACTGCATTCCAGCCTGGGTGACAGATTAAGACTACGTCTCAAAAAAAAAAAAAAGTTAACGTCCAAAAGTGGCAGATTTATAAGTGTAAGCTATATGATTTCTTCAAAAAGCAATCCACTTAATTCATTTGGATAAAATATGCATAGGTCTCAGGTCCCGCAAGAAACTTGCCTGTTGCAAATGTTGCTACGAGATTACAGCTGGTGGTAATTATTAATGTTTTAGCAAGGCTGATCTCAGTCCTTTAAAATGGAAAGCTTTAACATGAGCCCAACCCTATAAGATGAAGAAATCCTATACAGTCATTCACCAATACATCCAATGCACCCAGAGCAATGGTACCTTTTCAAGATCAGGATTTTATTATGAATTCATGTCACTTCTGTTTTCAATTTAAATTTCTATTTTAAAAATATTTTTCAGGGAATCCTATTTCTAACTTCACTGGGAAAAATGTGGTACTCTTTTGGACAATTTATCTTATTTCTAATATAAGATATATTTTATTGTCCTTAAAAGAAGCTCTAGCATGAAATTAAAGGAAAGGGAAAAAATAGATCTGGTGCACCCAAACATTAGGAGAAAATGAAAAATACACAACCAACCGTTTACGAGTCATCAAAAAGTCAAAGTCAGCCTGCCTAACTAATGTGGCAAAATCCTGTCTGTACAAAAAATACAAAAACAAGCCCAGTGTGATGGCACACACCTGTAATCCCAGCTACTCGGGAGGCTGAGACACGAGAATTGCTTGAACCCAGGAGAGGGAGGCTGCAGTGAACTAAGATCATGCCACTGCACTCCAGCCTGTGCAACAGATCGAGACACTGTCTCAAAGAAAAAAAAAAGTCAAAATCATAAACAAATTATTGGCTTCTTTCTTCCAGACTAAAAGAAATTAAATAGATGAAACAATCAATTGCAAGGGTCAAAAATAGATTGGATCTTGATTCTTGCAATACTTGTGAAAATTTGAATGAGGACTAAGTACTAGATTATATTAAAGTATTTTAAATTTTTTAATCTCCACAAACGCACTGATTGTTATACTTTAAATAAGTAAAAAGCCAAGAATCCACAGTGCTGCAGAAAATAAGTGATAAAATGGGAAAAAACAAATGGGAAAAAACAGTGAAGATCTTCTTTTAGGAAAACTATCAATAAACCCAGAATGAATGATGCGCACACACACAAAAAAAAGGAGTAAAGGAAATACCTAAGATAAACCAAATGAGTTTGACACCTACTGATTGGATGACAGACCACACAGAGGTAGAGTGACCCAGCTTTGCTTGCAGGGTGGGCATCCCTGCCTGGCTTTCTTCTTTCTGTGCAAGGGCAGTATGAGTAGCATTTTGCATATGTATGAACACACCTGCGCAGCCCTGGTTGAGGTCGCTAGGCTGGCCAGGGGCAGGAGAGAGAGTCTTGAATTTTCTCCAGAGGAGGCCTGCAGCTTCCCCCACCAACCCTTTTTCACATGCTCTAAAGATGTAGTAATGGCTGCTGTTTTGGATCCAAAATCCCCTTGAGTGGAGGAAGTGACTTCACTGGGTTTCTGGAGGCTCTTGGAATCTGGGTGGCTCTGCTCCGCCCTGAATCATGCACCCATAAATGTGCTCATGGGTGGGTGTGGGTGTATGAGAGTAGAGGCTGTTTTTTGTACATTTTCTTTGTTTTCTTGTTCTAAATATAATCTTTAATAAACTTGATTTAGTTTCTTGGGAAATTCATTTTCTACACCATTCAAAGATATTTTAAATATTTTAAAAACATTAAATATATATTTTTATTATTGATTTTGTATCATTAATTATGTATCAGGATTCATGTAAGAGACTAAAAATAATCCATAGTGGTTAGTACTGTACTTTCTGTTTATTAAATGAAATTATATTCCATTTATCCAAATATATGTTTATATAATATTTCCACTGTGTGACTCGTGTATATACAACGATCTTTAACATACACAGAAATATGAAAAATGTTTGAATATGATCTTTAGGGGCTTCTAGTGAAAAGGGCATATGATATGGGAAAAATAAATTCTGTACATGTATACATTCCATATACACATTAAGTGTTTGTCACTTGGACAAATTGAAAAATCTTTTAATAAAGCCATTTTCTTCCTTGTTAAAATGTCAATTGGTTGTTGAATTTTCCTTTGTGGCAATCATTGCAGAGTTGGCAGGCCAGCTTTGAATTTTTAGGTTACATTTTGTTCTTCTATAATATTCATGTATGTTTTATGTTGTCCAATAAAATGGACTAGGTTGATATGATTTTTACATAAGGCTTTAAAATATTTAATATTAACTCTTCTATCAAATTCACTTGAGTGATATTTGCTACTGTGGTTATTATTCTGGTCACTGTCTGAGACATCTAAATATACGCATAAACATATCTCAGAGAAAACAATTTAAACTTCACCCGTCTAAAATTTCCAGTTTACCTTATGGTCTATTTTACAGATGAACAGCAAGTGATTCACTGTCCAGGGGTGGCAGCTGAAGCTGTTAAAGAAGTCTACATGATTGATATTGTCATAATACTTAGGACTCAGAATTGGAGTATCATTTTCATTGGGGAAACATTTCATGTTTATGTTACCTTTGGCTTGGAATGTCTCAGCCAGTTGATGCAGTAGTGATTGTACCCACATTATTATACACTTAACTTAGCTTCTCATTAGCAAGTGGAGTCTGTATGCTTCTCTTTCCAGTGTGTGTTTTCATACCGTAGTCCTTTGCCTTTGTATAAAAACATGGTTCTTTCGAGGCTCCTGCTAGCGGATATATGGCTAACTTTCTTCTAGACCTCATTGTGGTTACCTACTAAAAGCCTATCTATTCTCCTTGCTTAAGCCTTTTGCAAATGGTTCATAGATGTCTTCGCTACCCCCACCGGGTACTGCCTTCATCTTTGGTAGCTTTAATGCCTGTAAGGCCAACTTGTGGAGCGTCCTGTCTTCAGTTCCTTGGCCTTCTCATTGCTCATACTTTTACCTCCTTTTGTTGCAGCCACTCACATCATAGATTGCAGTTGATAATAATCCAATTTAGATTACCTTAGCTGAAAGGAGAATTTTGGAGGCTCGCTTGAAAGATTCAGGGGTAGACTAGCTTCAGCTTGGTTAGATCCAGGGATTCAGAATTGGTGTCTGGATTCTTTCTGCTTCTACCCATCTCTCATCTTTACTTGATTTTGCTTGTCTTTGCATGTTGGCCTGGCTTTTTCCTTCCCCACATGGGTTCCTTCATGCTACAAGAATAGATGATCGCAAGCAGTTGAGTGATTTTTACAACTCATGTGGCCAGGCACGTGGCTCACACCTATAATCCCAACACTTTGAAAGGCTGAGAAGGGCAGATTGGTTGAGCTCAGGAGTTCGAGACCATCCTGGGCGAAAGACAAACCAAAATGAAAAAGAGACATCCCCTGTCTCCAAGTGTCCATGCAAAAAATACTAGTGGAGAGCCTGATCATCTCTTCTTGGTCATATACCTATCCTTGAACCAATCACTGTAGCCAGGTGGATGAACTCACTCACCAACCTGCATCCCATGCCAACCACTGCTAGTGATACTGGGGTCAGATGAGGCTCTAAGATTCCCTGTTCAACCAACCAAAACCACATGTAATGACAGAGGGGAAGTTCTCCAAAGGAAGGGCAGCTGGTCAGGTGCATGTGCACGCACACACACACACACACACACACGCACACACACACACACACACACTTCTGTGACATGTGGCCTGTCAGGACTGTGTAACACCTAGAACGTATGCACCTCTGAAATCTTAACTAAGCTCCACAACCTCTTATCATCCCAAACCTTTATCTCTTATTCCCAAATAGCTGTGCTTTGAGCCCTTGTGCTTCCCTGGTCCTCCTATTTTCCCCCTCCCTGTCTTGCCCATCCTCATTCCATCTGGAGCCAGCCTAGATATTAAGGTTCATTTCTTCAGTCATTCTCTTCCTAACACCTTTAACTCCTTATTCCCTTGCCCTTCTGTTCTCAACTTTGAATTACTCCCAACTACCAATGTTTCTGCTGCTTTTCCTGTCCCACTGAATGAAGCTGGAGAAAATCACATGAAATCACAGCTAAGTGGCATCCCAAATTTATGGTTTTCGATCTCATCTGAGCCTTCTGTCCTAACTGGTAAAGCTGCACTGTTTTCCCTGTTAGATTTCACTATCATTTTCCAAAATCATTTTTGCAAATATTCTTTTTTTTCCCTCAAGGCTCTTATCCTGTCTCTTCCCTCTTCACCCTAGATAGATAATCTCATCTTCTATTTCACCCAGCAAATAGAAGCCGTTAAAGGAAACACCTTCAATATCACATCCTAATACATACAGCCTTGTATGTGTCCACACCCACCCTTACCTCCTTTCCTCTGCCTGTCTCAGGCTATTTCCTCTACCAGGGCACTTGCATCCTCAGGAACTTAGTGCCATCAGTTGTTTCCCTCTCTTTCCAGTGTTGTCAACCCCACCTTCATAAACAGCTTATTTCCATCAGCATTTAAATATGTCCAAATCTCTCTCATCTTAAAGACATCACTCTTTCTACTACACAGCAACGTTTCCTGAAAGCCCTACCTCCTGCTTCCTCTCCCCAATTGAGCCCCTTGGAAGTGTCCTGTGTATGCTGTCTTTCTGGTCTCACCTTTTATTCATGCCATCCTCCATTCACCCTGGATTTTGTCTTCATTCTTCCAATGTTCTTATTTTCGTTAGCAAATCTGTGTTAGTTTTAAAGTGCTTGTCTTCAAAGACATGGCATCAACCCAACTGCCCATCAGTGATGAACTGGATAAAGAAAATGTGGTGCATATACACCATGGAATACTATGCTGCCATAAGAAGGAGTGAGATCATGTTTTCTGCAGGGACATGGATGGAACTGGAAGCCATCATCCTCAGCAAATTAACACTAGAACAGAAAACTAAATGCTGCATGTTCTCACTTACAAGTGGGAGCTGAATGGTGAGAACACATGGACATAGGGAGAGGAACAACACACACTGGGGCCTATTGGGGGATGGGGGGTATGGAGAACATCAGGAAAAATAGCTAATCCATGCCAGGCTTAATACCTAGGTGATGGGTTGAAAGGTACAGCAAACACCGTGGCACATGTTTACCTACGTAGCAAGCCTGCACATCCTCCAATATGTACCCCAGATCTTAATAATAATAAAAAATAAAAAATAAAGTGCTTATTTCTTGCATGATCTTTCCGTAACATTTGATACAGTCGACCCCATTTCCCTTTTGAAACATTCTCCTCCATTAGCTTCCACAATTGATATGCAACTTGTTCTCCTCCCACTTCTCTGAGTGTGTGAGTTAGAAAATTTTAGGATGATAAGAAACAAAAATGAAATGAGAAACTAATGCAAGGATAACTGTAGGTGAGAGTCTTGACTTCAGTCAGAACTCAATGAAGGACAACCGTATGTCCTAAAAACTAGAATGTAGTTGACAGTCCAAGAACCGGAGGGCCACATGCGAGGGACAGAGCGGCTCCCCTGGCTGGGTTCTCTTATCATCTGTGCCATAAATCCAAGATTTCTTTGATCCCATAAGGGCTGACCTTCTCTCTGCTGTTGCTCCGGCTGCGTTAGCCAATACTCATCACCATCTCTCTGCTCTTCTCTGCCTTTGGCTTCAGCTTCTGCTTATTCTGGGCTGCTTCTTGCTCATGTTTTCTGATGCTTCCTGGTTTTTCTGTGTCTTGCTGTTCTGCTCCTACCATTGACTGCTCTTGTTCTTTCTCTCTGTGTCTCTCCCCCAGAGGGAGAACCTGATTGGTTTCATCAGTCACTCTTCCGCATAAGACATCTTTGTTGAACAGCACTTTTTCAATTGGTCATGTTGCACCTTGACACGCCAATGTCAACGTGTAGGCCAGTGGCAGTCCTGTAGATGTGCTGTCCTTGGATCAGGCACCCGTTCCAGGTCCAGTGTACTGTGGTCACAAAGTAGGGTGCAGTGTATGTCTCTTGGATGTGGGCATTCCGCGGGGGGCTGTCCTAGGTCCCCTTCCTTCACACTTTAAACATCTTTCGGTGCTTCAGCCCTGTGACTTCAGGCATGTTACTTGTCTTCCTGTGTCTCAGTTCCTTATCTGTAAAACAGAAGTGACACCTACCGGTTCTGGGTTTAATTCTGTCTTCCGCAACAGTGTTGAAGTTCTAATCCATAGTATCTGTGAATGTCACCTTACTTGGAAATAGGGTCTCTGCAGATGATCAAGTTAAGATGAGTCATCTGGGTGGGTCCTAATCCATTATGACCGGTGTCCTTATTAAAGGGAAATTTGGACACAGACACATACATGGTGAGAATGCCATGTAAAGACAAAGGCAGAAATTGGGGTGATGCATCTACAAGCCAAAAAATGCCAAAAATTACCAGCAAACCACCAGAAGCCAGGAGAAAACCTGGATCAGATTCGTCTTCACAATCCTCAGAAGGAGTCAACTCTGGCAGCTTCTTGGTCTCAGACTTCTGGCCTCTGGAACTATAAGACAATGAATTTTTGTTTAAGCCACTCCGTTTGTAGAACCTTTTTATGACAGCCTTAGGAAACTAATACACTACCTTATAAGCTTGTTGTAAGAATTTAATAATGCAAAGCATTTAGAAAATACCCTGGCACTTGAGGAGTAGGCATTGCACATTAGCTAATGCCGTTCTTGTAGTAGGTATCACGAACCAGTTCCACCTATTCTGGTGGCTGTAAGGATCATTTATGTCATGATGATGTCCATCTTTATTTCTCTAGATGAGATCCCTGTCCCAATCTTCATACCTATGTATGCAGTAGGATGCTATGGAGGAGACACACGTGGCAATTGAGCAAAAGAGACTTGGATTCAAATTCAGGCTCTGCCGAGTGACCTGGACTTGTTGTTTAATATCTTTGAAACTCATGTGCTTCAGGACGACCATAGGAATAAGAAGAGCATTTTTCTCATGGAGTCCTTGTAAGGACTCAGCAAGTGTAAAGTGCAGGCACCTTATGTACATAAGGTGCATAGCTTACAGCCTGCGCGACGCACATACTCAGGGAATGCCGTCATGTTCTGCGGCATCTGAAACCCAACACATGGAACACTGAGTTCA